CGCCCCCCCCGCCACAGCACGGGCAGAGGCGCTGACCTGAAAGGTGCCAGGGTCTGCCCAGAAGCCCTGGCTGCCGGCTGGCATCCCTCGGCCTGGGCGTCTGCCAAACGCTGTCTGTGCCGGTTCCCACTGCTGCTGGTGGTTCCTCTTTCGGCCGCAGGCGAGAACCCGCCCGGAGGAAGCCATCCTGCCTTGGAGCAGGGGGCTCTGGAGGTGTCATAAGAGAGCAGAGCAGGTCCACAGTCAGCAGCACTTTTTGGGCAGCCCTGGGTAACGGGAGCAAACAGAAATGTGAGCCAAGTGATGCTGGCAGGGAAGTCAGTCCCGGGAGAAATGGGGTCGGGCAGAGACACTGCACTGCACTAGAGAAAGTCCATCATCTGTCGGGACAGTCCTCTCCTCCCCACTGCTCCCTCAAGCCCAACCCAGCCCCAGCCCCTGATCCAGCCCCACAGCAGGGCTGAGACCAGCAGGAGCTGGCAGGTCCTTTTCCTGCCTGAGACAGAGACAGGCGCTTGCGGCAACAGGGCTCCTGCATTTCCTCATTTCCAGGTTTCCATTACGAATCCAACAATGAGACAGACAAGCGGGAGTTTGAGAAGGCCGTGGAGACCATCGCAGTGTCCTTCAGCAGCACGTAAGGGACTTTTGGCCAGCTATTCCCTGGAGAAGGTCCCCTGACGCACCCCATCACCCTGCCAGGACACATCTCCACCCTTCACCCTGTCCCCTCGCCCACGCACAGCCCCACACGCGGTGGGTGTTTTGGGGGGTGGTTTGGGGACCGGAGAGACCCCGTGGGGAAGGCAGATTCACTCCTCCTGCCACTGGCACCTGCAATTCCTCCAGCACCGAGGAGGCACCCCAAAGCCAGCTCGAGCCCACAGGCTCCGCCACCCGGCCCCTCTTCAGTGCCGGGCCAAGCTCTGCTCCTCCACCTGAATTCCCAAGACCGCATCACGTGGAGCTGAGCTGATCCCCACTGGAACCAGTACTGTGGCTCCAACTGCCCTGGCCCTCACCCGGTCCCTCGGATGTGGGTTGGGTGCTGCTGGGTGACAGTCCTGCTTGTCACTGCCCACCGTCCCTTTGCTGAGCCCAACCGTATTCCTCTCACCACAGTGTGTCCGAGTTCCTCATGGGGGAGGTGGACAGCAGCACCATCCTCTCCATCCCACCCAGTGACCAGAACCAGGTGAGTGCTGCCCGCTCCGCAGTGATGCTGCGGGTCTCGGGATGTGCCGGGGGGCTCCGACCCGGCTCAGGAAGTGTGTGGGGTTCCCAGCTCACCCCAAACCCAGCAGAGCTGTGTGTAGGCTTTGCCTGCTTGGTCCTGTCCTTGCCACCATCCCAAGGAGGGGAAAAGCCACCTGGCAGCTCAATCCAAAGAGCAAGGTGGCTTGGGAAGGGATGGAGCAGCTCTGCCAACAGAGACAGAAAGCAGGGCTCTGATTGCTCTCCATAGCTCTGCCCTGGTCTGGTGTGAGCACAGACCAAGGTATTTGTCCAGGGACACTCCCGGTAGCTCGCGGCATTACTGTAGGGCCACGGGCTGGGCCCAGCGGACTTCCAGCAACAGCAGAAAGGCTCCAGCAGCTCCGGGTTTCTGCCTCCCCTCCATCCGCCAGCTCCTCCAACTACTTCCCTTCTTGTCTGATCAGTCCCTTTTCTTTCCCAATTCCCAAAGTCTATGGAGAGCCTCTACGGGGGGATCCCTGGGCCTGGAGGAGACGGCATGCCTTCAGGCATGGAAAGCTATGACACAGGTAAGCAGGCAGAGTCTTGGTGGAGGGTCTGGGGTCGTGGGATACCTGGCTGAGGAGACCGGCCAGCAGGAACCGGCATCTTCCCCATCGCTGCTGCGGTTCTGAGCCGCACACGGCACCTTGGCTGGGAAAAGTCAGCAGAGCTGCTGCTGGCACCGGGTGCTGGCAGGACACCAGCACGGCACAATGCCGGCACAGATACGGGGAGGTTTGCACTGAAAGCTCACGGAGCTTGCAGGGGTGAGGTGGGCTGTCCTGGGCTTTTCCCAGCTGTTCCAGTGCTCCTGGGAGCTCAAAGGCGTTTGGAAGGAGCGGGTCAAGGAACACAGTGGTCACAGTACATTCAGTGTCTCTCCTTTCTCCCCCCCACCTTCCCCTTTGTCCCATCACAGGCCGTCCTCCTGCCGAGGAAGTGGACGTGATGCTGCAGCGCTGTGAGGGGGGGGTAGACGCTGCCCTCCAGTACACCAAGAACATCTCCAAGTACATGAAGGACCTCATCGGATACCTGGAGAAAAGGACCACGCTGGGTGAGACGGGGAGGATGGCGGGTGGGTCCTCTCCAGAGCGGGGCTGAGCCCCTCATGGCAGTGTTGGAACTGGTCAAGGTCCTCTACAATCAGTGAGGCTGAGGGAGTCAGACACTGCAAGGATAGTAGTGAACGTCATTCCTGACGTTCCTCATTTATTTTTCAAAAGGAACCCAATCAGCAGGGAAATCCTGGTGTGTCACATGTCTTTTCACTTCTGACCTTTTTCTTCCAGAGATGGAGTTTGCCAAAGGGCTTCAGAAAATGGCAAACAGCTGCAAGCAGACCATCAGTCAGGAGGTAAGTCCACGTGTCCCTAAAGCCACCCAGCATCCAGGGTTCCAGGCTGTATCAGGAGCAAGCAGCCCTGGAGACCTCATTTCGCATGACCCAGCTTTTGTTTGTCAAAATTCCTGTGCCCAAAGCAAAGCATAATGCCAAGACCCTGCAAGACCTCCATCAGTAGCTGATGTTTCTGTCTGGCCCTGCCGGGTGTGCTGAGCCTCTCGCTCTTCTTCCCCGAACGCGGCGATGGAGGATGCGTCTCCTTTGGTTGACGCTGCCGGGGCTCAAGGCCGTGTGTTTTCTCGTTTCTCAGACCAACATGCCTTTCCTGTCCATCTACCTGCTGGCCCTGGAGCAGGATATGGAGCACGGGACATCGGTTCTGCAGGCTGCCAACACACTGCAGCACCAGACCTTCCTCCAGGTGAGGGGATGAAAGGCCACCTCGGAGGGTCTTCCCCGCGCCGGGCAGCGAGGGAGCCGGGTGGTCTCCTCAGTCCTTCTGTCACAGGCAGCTCATTCAGAAACTGGAATCCAGTTGCTGCTCGGCTCAGCCGCTGCTCAGGCTCCGCATTCCCCGGCTTTGCTCTGGCCTCAGCGGATCGATGAGCCCAAGCTCTCAGGCAGCTGCTGGGTCCATCGAGGGGTTAGATACAGGGGCTAGGAGAAACCCCCCAAATCTGGCAAATCAAACAACATCTCCTCATCGATCTCCATCTCACCCGAGGCCTCTCTGCTTTCCCACCTTCCCCCACCAGCCCAGACCGAGCTGCGCCCATCTCCCAGGGAGAGCCGCTCTCCAGAACTGTTTGCCACGGAGGGAATTGCCGTCCTGCCGTTGCAGAGGGCGGCTCTTGCTTAGCTCAGTCTGGAGGGAAACTGCATCTGGCACTTCCCAGACTGCAGGTTCTTGCCCATGAGACAAACCCTCCCTGCAACCGAGCCCAGATGTGCTGGGGAATGACAACAACCGCCACAGGGAACTTCTCCTTGCAAAGCCTTTTGCAAAGGGAAGAGTAGCGAGCGTTTAGCTCAGACCACCACGGGGGTTGTTTCTCCCTCCTGATTCAGCCGCTAACAGTGAGACGCCTTGAACATGAAAAACGGAGGAAGGAGATCAAGGAGCAGTGGCACCGGGCGCAGAGGAAACTGGTGAGTAGCAGACACACAGCACGGGCTGGGATTATACTCTCTGAGCCCAGTCTGGAGTACACCCGTGGCACATTCCCCTCTGAGGATGCTGGACTCCTTGTCGCTCTCCAGTAGCATTAAGCGCTTCATCCGAGGGTGCCTCTGCTGTGCTGGGGGACGCTGGAGAAACGCGGGGCCCTGGGGAGCTTGCAGGAGATAACAATCTCCTTGCAGAGTTCAGTCCTCACCTTGGGTCGCTGTTTTCGTTGGCAGCAAGAGGCAGAGGTCAACCTGCGCAAGGCCAAGCAGATATACATGCAGCGCAGCGAGGAGCACGACAAGGCCAAGTACATGGCAGTGAAAGCGGAAGAAGAGCAGCAGAACACCACCAGCAGCATCACCACCAAAACCCTGGACAAGAAGAGGCGGCTGGAAGAGGAAGCCAAGAACAAGGTGGGAACATGACAGCCCTGGACTCGGGCTGAGCATCTGTCTGGCGAGAACCTTCTCACTCCTTGCTGTGCTAGCACAGCAGCAGCCCTGAGCTAAGCGGACTGAACGGAGCTCCCTGCGG